CAGGGCACACAAAGAGACCACACAGCTATGAGACAGCTGCACTAACTGCCACATTTGTCTCTTTCTTCTTTTTTGTAAAAAAGTGAAATAGAACGAGTAAAATAAACATCTACGCCAAATATCAGAAGTCACAATTGTTTTTGTTCTTAAGATGTGTTCACGTTGGAAGGTGCTGCAGATTTTAAGATTACTGGATACAGTAGGGAGCTTACAGTGTGTGATGTCAGACATCCGTCTTGCCCTAATTACAGCCTGTATATGAAAATCACGCCATTATACATTTCAGTTGACAACAGCCTACAGCCCTCTACCATCATTCGCTTTATCAAGAGAGGTGCTGTGCATGGCATACTGATCCAAACACAATACCGGGAAATGTAATCAAGAAAGTGAATCCTCACAGATGTGCAGTTAAAACCAATACATTTCATTTCTTTGTTTCTTTAAATAATGTCCCCACCATTTTAAGTTAGCATTGAAAAAAAAATCTCATCTCATTCTTTTTCTAAGTGCTTACTCATGGTGGTAGCAAGGTGAACAGGGCAGGTCCGATGTGCCTTTCCCCAGCAACAGTCTCTGGGTGTTGGCCAGATTAGAGATATAATCCCTCCAGCATGTAGAACTGTACCTATGATAAGACATTTCCCATGTCAATTTTTAAATATTTGTTACATTTACAAAAGTAGGCTTATGTACTACAACAACAACAACAAAAAAAACTTATTACTTAAATTGAAAATGGATTTTTATCAGGACCTAATATTCGAACACTATCTACATCTTCTATTCAAAAAGAACCTCTTTGCTCTTTTTTTTAAGTCTCTTTACCTGTAGATTTCTGTTCTTCGATTGGCTCTTCTGGATTTCTCTCTTACATTGAGATGTCTCAGCTCTGTGACTGCTAATTGTAATATGATGGCAGCTGAAGATATTTCTGTCTATAAATAGAGACCGAACAACTGAAAAATGTCGTGATTGACATGATTGCTTCCCTCAGACGAGGTCCTCTCTGTAAGCCTCAAGCCATAAAAAGCTCTCAAAATTGTATTAATAGCTTTGGTTGTCAAATATAGAAAGGAGTAGGACACAGGGCACGAGTTGGCAGCATTCACTGTTTACCAACTGTGACCTTCGGGTTCGACCTTGTACTCTCCAGGACGGAAATTCTCAGGGAGCACACATTCCGGTCGGAATTCGTGGGAACAGCAAAATGAGGAAGACTGATAGACTTTGATTTTTTATGAAGTAGCAAGGTCACCCACACAAAGTAATTCCTCAGGCAGAATAGGATTTTGAAGACGTTTAGGAAGGGCTTATAACAATAAAGCAATCTTATTATAATTTAATCAGTCTGACAGAAGCAGAGCGAAGAGGGGGGCAGCTGGCCATAGGGACAGAAGGTTTTATGATAACTTTTTCAACTTGAACTTTCATTAGCTAGAACACAGGAAATAACATTAGACAGATCACAATTAAAAGGTTACAATCAATGCCTCTTGAAGGAAGGCAGGGTATCAGCTTCCACAACATGGCTGGATAGCTTGTTCCACACTCCCTCCTATTCTTAGTTTTAAAAAAAACTTCCCCCTTAATTTCCGCTTGTGTCCCCTGGATGGTGTTTCACTGTACATTCTACAGATGCCCACTTTTTCAGTGCCTTCGAGGATTTTAAATTATTTTATCAGGTCCCCTTGTAGTCTCTCTGTTTAAGGTTAAAATGACCCCAGTATGTATCTGGTCACTGTTCTCTACATGGACTTGGTGGACTGAAGGGACTGCTCTCATTTGTTATTGTTTTTAGGAATTGGTTCGTTTACGTCATTAGTTCTATGGGGTTCTATGGAGCATATGTACAATATGCTCATTCCTGAGAGTGACATCTGTTGTCTAATTCATCCATGGCTGTTTGACCATGTTTGGAGAGCTATACTGGACCAGTGATAACTGGTGGTGGTTTTTGCTTGCATTCCAGTAACTGATTGATTGGAACCTACAAGCTGTCCAGCATATTGAGGTAACCTGAATTAAATGTCTCCTCAAATTGTTTTAGGGGTCAAGAATTCAAATGTGGTCAGAAAACACACTGACGGCCTTGTTACTTGGCCTTGTGGAAGGTTGGACTGCCTGATCTGTCACTGAGAAATTAGTTCTCCGTTTGTTGTTTTCTGTCATTGTCATGGTTACAGACACTGTGACCAATGCTGTAGTTCCCTGGTTATACACAAGATCTTCTAATAGCCTGAAGCGTCAGTCTTGATATGGGCTTCCTAGAGACTCAATGATAAACATTCTCACTTTGCCTAAAAGCTTCCATTTGTTTCCAATCACAGCAGCCTTTCTCCTCCCAATGTTGTTACATTATCAACATCATCATCCCTACCATAAAATATCACATTATCACAGCATAATTAGTATTTTAAGTATGACCAGTTCTGGTAGTACTCCGGAAAATGTTAGGTTTTCACACTTATCCAAAATATCCAAAAATCTTGTTTTTTGTTTGTTTTGTCTTTTATTATTCTGCGTACCCGCGTTAACCCATTAACCATTTTCAGGCTGTTTTCTCATTTTAAACATTAAAAGACTACATTTAGTGAACAGAGTCCATATATTTTGATCTGGTACAGTAGTTAAAAGCTTCAAAGTTTTTAAACTGCTGGGTTGTGTGCAAGAACCCAGTCCTATCAGCACCTGGAGGTGGGGGGAGCGGAGTTATGACACACAGGAAGTAGATTTGCCTCAAAGTGCATTGTGGGAATCTTATTTTTTTTTTGTCACGTTCGTCTTTTATTCCATTAGAAACTATTACGTAAGGACTACAAATCCCAAAACAAGATTAAAACTATATTTCTTACCGGTTTGTTTTTTTTTAGAAAGCTGAGTGTTGGGGAAAGCGATTTCTACTTGCTTTTGAGGGCAGTATTTTTCCTAACAATCAGATGGCGGAACATTGCTGAAGCAATATGTGTAATAAGCATGCGTTAATGGATGTAACGACTCATTACGATAAGTCTAAGTGTAGCTAACTGTAAAAGTAACTGATATTTTTTTTAATTTAAATGTGTACTATTACTTTTTGCAATAAAGTATGATTCGTATTTACAGGGAATTGCATTATTCCGGGAAGGTAACGGTGGCTGTCGGTTTACTGTGTTTTTGGTATGCCAATAGTCATGTATGACTATAATCGGATAATACTTTTAGGTTTTGAATTTTGCCGTTGACGGAGGCTGTTGCTGTTTCTTTTTAGCAATTAAACTGAGAATTCGACTGTAAATGCGGGGATTGATCGCTTCACATTTTAAAAAGGTGTCATAATAGTTTAACTTAATTCAAGGTTTGTGTTCGAAGAGAGTTACTAAAGACCTAAAAGCAAGCCCCTGCCTATTTGGATAGTGGATTTATTTTCCCGTGCTTGTCGGGGACCATGAACGTTTGGGCGAGAGTGGGCATCGCGGGCGCTGTGACGGGCGCTGCGCTGTACTGGCACCAGAGCCGGGCCACCCCCGCTGCCGCTGCCCCGAAGACCCGCGACCCTGATCAGTACGAGCTGAAGCTGGTTCAGGCCCTGTTCAGACACGGCGCCAGGACTCCGCTGAAGTCCATACCTGGAGTACCAGAGGTGAGAAACCAGAACCGCCTCCTGCGTTTAACACGCGTGCAACCCTGTGGCTCAGTTAGATTTGAGGGTCGTATCGAAAACAAGTCTGCTCACGTTGGTGTGTCTGTCGTAAGACGGCTTTTATATTTGAAAGAGCTTGTGGAAAATTATGTGTAAAAGTGATGTTGTCATTTAAGCTCTAGGTGTCCCTCTGTGTTGGCCAGGGTAGGTTGGGCAGCAGCAGTTTTTTTGTTACACTAGAATTGATCTCAACTGAGCTAATTATGTGGTGTAAAAGTCAAATATACAGTATTTATATGCTCAGGGAGGGACTGCTAGTATGCTATATACGTCTTGTGGTCTGAGAAGCAGGAACAAACTCCCCAGCTATGTGGTGGAAACCTAAACGCACCAACCTTTATAAGCTGATTTGAAATACCTGAATTAAAAGACAAGATGTGTACTTCAAATATTTTCTTTCCACTTCCTTCAATTAGACTGCATGTAGCCTACACCTGAGAGTTCAATCACTGAGAGAGGCTGGCTTCACTGAGTGAAGTTCTGCTTCCCTATGCTTCATTACTCAATACTAGGCAGGGTCAGGCACTTTGGTCTCCTGGAAATGCCATCCTGCAGGTTTAACAGGTGACTTTTCAGTTGGCCTCCAATTTAGAACTGAAAACAGCAGGTGACATGATTTATTTACAAAACCGATAACTTCATTTAAATAGATTGCACTTACGTAATGCATCTATGATCATGTTCGATGCACGTGCTTAATTACGGAGGTGTATCTCGTGGCACAAGTCCCTTAGCCATTTCTGACAGGTTCTTTCTACACTAAAGAAAAAGCAGTTCACTTCCCTAGTCTGTCTTTAGAGGACAGCAGAAAGTGGGCCAGGACAGTAGTTTCAGCTTACCTGACACTAGTGGTTTCTAGGACCTCTGTTGCTTGTAAATAGGTTCATGTGTGGTGTGTTAATTGATTAATTAGTTAATTGGTGAAGGGCTAAGAGCAGTTAATTTAAACTAGTTTGGTGTATAAGGAGACTCAAACGTGTAGTTGGTGTTGGGTTGATTGAGAGTGAGCTTTTGTTTTAGGTGTGTGAATGTTGTTTTTCATTTGTACGGTAAAAGTTCTTAGTACAATAATTTTTTCTGTCCACCGTGATTTCCATGTGCTCAGGCCTCATGAGCTTCCCCATTGGGAGGTACGCCTGTCACAATCAGTGTGCTGTGTTTCCTCAGAAGGCCACTGTGATTCAAGAGCAAATAAAACCACCCAGCAGCTTGTGCTCTCTCCTCCACACAGGGCAAAAAAGTATTTTGAGGAACTCGCACTCTCGAATGTGCCATTAAAGGAGGAGGGAATCACCAAAGCTAGCTAAATTTAGGCAGATCTGTTCATTTTTCAGTGTTTGTGATACAAATGTGGTGATAATTGATCTGGGTAGGGCTCAGAGTGTGTGTGTGTGTGTGGGGTGGGGGTTGTGTGTGGTATTGCTGTATTACGAATAGAGTCCAACATGTATGAAACCGTTTAAAGTTTTTTGTTTATGCGTGACCTCAAGACGTTGAGCTCTAACGTCTGCCTCCCTTTGACGCTCTACAGGCAGAATGGCTCCCTGGCCTTCTGGCAGTGCCTCCGCACACACGCTTCGACTGCAGGGTCTGCGACCTCAGCGGCGGACCCACCCCTCCGTCTCCCGTGGAGGACAGCTACCGAGCGCGCACCCTCGCTGTAGGTTGGCATCTGTTTTGGTGGGGGGGGGGAGGGTGTTTCAGGTTGCCACATTGCTATAACTGGGATGATTTCTAAAATAATGAAAATAGCTACTTGGGATAGAAAATGGACTGCACATCAGCAGGATAAAGTCCTACTGATCTTGCCCAGGGGGCCACTCTCTGGACCTGCGACCCCCAGAACCCACTGAGCTCTCAGTTCTTAAGAGAGCCGTTCACTGACTTATAATTTATAGACCTGTAATATTCATTTGAACTCAGTTTTTTAGTCCGTTTTCAGTTCCTTATTGTGTCAGGGGGTTGCGTTTCAGCTTATAAATCAAGCCATGTGTTGATATCAGGGTTTAAAGCTTAAGGACCAAATAGAAACAGGTTGTTGTTCTGTCAGATACAGTACATGTACCTGTGCAGCATACACAAGACATTTTCACAGTGGTTATCCATCTGGTGATTAAGGAGGGTCCATAGTCCAGCACAGGATTGAAACAACACATGAAATTTCAACAGTGGAATTGCCTTCTTTTGCTCTTCCAGCCAGTAGCACAAACAGCCGGGTATCTGTGTGAACTAGCTGACGGACAGCCCTCATAGATATAACCTCAGATCCCTGAATATTCATCTGAATATTGAATAACTGTTATTTGTCAGTTTATGAGTTATTAATAAAGGATCTATAGATATTAGTTAATGCTTGGATTAGGGTTAGTGTATTAATTTAAGTAATTAGTATGTTACGTCCTACTTTATCTTTTATTAAAATCCTGCTAAACTACAGTTGATGATAACATGATCATGAGTAGAGTAGGTTTTAAACCGTTTTGTATGGAACCTAGCCTAATTTGTACACAAGGTTTTGGCACAGAAAGATTGCTTTGTTAATTGGTAGGGTCTTGTTTTTTTGATGATGTCTTAAATACCTTTTAATGAAATAACAAATATGGATTTATGGCCTTGCTGAGACATTAACAGTGGAAACTTACAGTTTGGTTTACCATGTAGTTGAAGTTCATATTTACTAAACATCCTTGTGGTTCTCTGAAGAGAGGTGTGCTACAGTGCATGAAAAGAGCTTGAATATAGCCTTGTGTACTCATGAGATGATGTGGATCACACTAAGACATATTTTTACTGCTTTTCTTCAGAAAAGGAGAGCTAATAAATGAATATATCTACTGATTAAGTTGTGTGAGGTGGTGTCAGGACCACTTAGCTGAAAGAGTGTTCTTTCTACGGCTGTTATTTCTTTGGCTGTTAAACTGACAGTGAGACAATATCCTGTTCTTGCTTCCTTCCCAGTTTTAACTTAACTGCCCACCAATGTGTGTGGTCTGGTTTACTTCACAAAAATGAAATATTTTATTACATACCACAAGACTTTAGAAAGTTTCTTGCCATATTAGAGTTAACTGCCATCTATATCTTTGGAACTGAAGTCGGACTTACAAGCACCCATCAAATATTTGCAATTCTGTACCCGGATATAGAATATATCATAGTTAGAAGATTATCAAAATTAAGCTTTGTTTTAAAATGATATTTCACAAGCAGCGTTGTAATAATAAGAGTTAAAGGGTCATGCAAATGAAAGTCTCTAAACGTGAACTCAAGGTGTGAGCATTCTATTAAGAGGAAATAAAGAAGTGCCGGAAAATAACATATTTTGCTTAAGTTGTGTTGACAATCCTGTCATTTCATGTGTGTACTTTGATTTTGATTTTTGATGAAATAGTTGTACAGGTCTAATGTTTCTATATTTTACACAGGGGGTGCACAAACTACACAAACACACACCCCAGTTATAGCAAGAACATTGCAATCAGCTGTTTCCAACAAGTAAAAGACATTGTAGTATAAAATCATTTACAACTGTTCAAACTGGGAACAGTGCTGGGTCTTTTAGCATTGCGATTTTGTGATTTTAATTAAATTAATCTCCTGTAAATTGACGCTTATGCAGCTTTTCAATAGCATGCTGCAGAGCCCTATGCGGAAAATATAATGGAGAGCTGAAAGTTATTTTAGAAAGGGGATAGACTGTTAGCCCTTCATTTGCTTCTCTATGGACAGCATGTTTACTCCATTGTACTTTTTGGACAATCAGTCCGTATAAACCTATGCACATTTTGCACATATTTTATTGTTTTTACAGTGACTATGATCAGCACATTTTGCACACACCTATGTATTTATTTATTTTTATGTATTTTGTTGTCTTTTGTTTTATAACTATTCTGATGTCTGTTTTGCTCGTCTTGGGCTGGACTGCTGTAACACATCAATTTCCCTACAGGATTAATAACGTATTATCTGTCTATCTAATGAATTAGAATGACCTTCCCATTCCAGTCAAAGCTTCCTTCAGAAGCGCAGAAAGACAGAGGAAAGTCTGTAGACTTCCCCTCCTCGAGGAATCCTTCAAGATGTTTGATTATGTAGTGTTAAAGAGTAACTGCAGTCCCAATGTCTCCGAACGGTTATTCCATCTCGGTACGAAAATAAAGAAACTGATGGCATTGCAAACTTTTCCAGATTCAAATTAAGTGTAAAATCATGAACTTCATGAAAGTACTGTATGGTTGCCATGTTGTCGCAGGCAGATGAGAAAGCACTTGTCAGAGAGCCACTGGTTAGAGGGAGAGCTTGTGCGAACTGTAGCGTGAAAGTGGCCCTTCCTGCTCGCTTGTTGCTGTAAGCAAATGGGAAACACGATCTCTTAACAACATTAAGTGTGTTTGTGTATTTTAGTTGGTTGGCGAGTTTCTCTTTTCTTCGTAATATTTAAAAGTGTCTAAAAACATACTGTATCATCTTGTAAGTTGGTTTTGTTAAAATATTTACTACTAATATAGTAGCAAAATGTCCTTGGTCTAAAGCGTATTTACCGTGTAATGAGGCGACTTTCACATCATCAGAAGTTTCGTTGCCTTGCTCTGAATCACAGACAGTGACAGCAATTTGGTTCTACTCATATTGCTGAAACTTGGTCTCATTTGTGATGTGAGTTACAGGTTGTACACATTGCCATGTACTTGGTAGTTCCATTGTGGTTTGAAATGCACTCATCATTACCCATTCATTATAACACAGAAAAGTAAAACCATGTTGCAGTTCCCCTTTAATATAAAGATTTTGTATGGGATTCTTAATTAGTATTGCCAATGTTTCCATTTCTGTATTAGATGTGATGATTACATTGTGCTCTTCCGTCTTTTGATCACCAGGGTGGGGTGTTTCCTGGGCAACTGACGACTCTAGGAATGCAGCAGCTATATGATCTGGGCAAACGGATGAGAGAAACATACATAGAGAAGCTACACTTTCTGTCACCAGCCTTCACCCCAGCAGAGGTCTAGTAAGTAGTGGGTAGACATGGGTTCAGTGTTTACTGATAATGTGTCCAATTCACTGAAACATATAGAACAAAAACAAAAGATGGACTTGCAAAGTATTAATCAATATTGAGGTAATCTGGTATATGGTGAATAAACACAGAAAAATGACCATATGATCTTCATTGTTGCAGATTTTCTCTTACAAAAGAGATTAAGAAGGACAAGTTCATAATCTATTAAATTTGGTATGGTTGGTCTTGCATAGATAGTCTAGTGCTAGAGTAAATGACTAACATTATTTCATCCTTATTGGGAGAAAGAATTAAAGACACTGGCACCAGTTGTTCACTGCAGGTCAGTTTTGGGCAGTTCTAAAAACAAATGAATTGGAACAGAGCAATAGATCTGTAAAGCAGACTTGGGGAAGAGACTAGCAGTAACATTGAGAGTCTAAATGCTGTAGATGTTAAGAAATGCCACCACATTGAATAGATTTATCTGTTCCTCCTTGAGTTGCACATTTGTTTCAAATTTGAGGAACTGCACTTCATTCCTGACCCAGTATCTGGAAGAAAAAGGGGCAGCTTGCTTATAGTTGAACAGAATTTCTCATCTGGCAAGATCCTAAAAGTGGGCAAGAGTCATCAAAAAGATGTGACGTAGCAAAAAAACATTCCTATTCAATCAGCTCACTTTGTTGTGGATGAAATTAGACACCACAGTTCCCACTATGTTCCCACATAAATCTGAATTTAAATTGAGGAACCCATGCCTTAAATTGTCAGCATAGCCTTGTTTTTTAAAATGTTGTCTTGGTCTTGGCTCCACAGAACCTTTGTACAAGTTCATAGTGAATTTATCCAGTGTTCCCACCTATTAAAACCCTGAACCTCTGTGTGTGGCACACGAGGTAGACTCAAGTCTTTTATCTGAACTGAACACAATGATCTCCAGTTTAACAACAATACAACTTGCCTGATTTTAATTGGCTTTCCACATCAAGTCAAATTAGACTGTTTACAACTCACTCTTGGTGCTACAGAAAGTGTCCCCTCAAATTCTATAAAAACAAACTTAAGGGTGATTTTTGACACTTTCCTACCTTTGAAGTCATATGTCTGCAAAATCTGCAGCGCATACTGTTTCTATCTAGGAAACAATATGCTGAGATCCTTGTTTTTGTTTTTGTCGTTTAGTGTGCGTTCCACCAACATCATACGAACAATTGAGTCTGCAAGATGTCTGTTGGCAGGATTGTTCCAACAGAAGCAAAAAGGTAACCTACCTTGTGTATTGACAAGCTTGAACCCATTCTTAGGCCATGTCCTAAAAGCTGCTCTTAGCCCTAAGCCCACAGCGCTTCTTCCAAGACCGCAATTCTGTGACATATAGCAGGTGTGAACTTAAGGTGCACGAGCATGTGAGGGTTCACCGTTATAAAAAGGGTCACTGTCAAAATGCTTTGTGTTGTTGCTGCTTTCGCCCTGCTTCTTTTCCAGGGGCTAAGTGCACGCTGGCAGAGAATTTTTTAAAGAAGTTTTCATTCTCCGCTCGCAGTTTGATGAAATCAAAATGCCATCTTGTCTGTCCCTGCTCAAAAGTAGTGATATAATGTGTTCATTCACACTGAGCAGGCTCGTGTAAAAATGAGCGGAGTAAACTAAGGAAAACTTGGCAATGTCCTTTGTAATATTAAAGTCATTTCATCCCATCTGTCCCTGTACACAGATGACAGTACGGGGAGCATAATGTGTTCATTTAATTTAAAGTAGGATTGATTCAAAGTGGGCAAAGTAAACTAAGCTTAGCAATAGCTTTGTGCTATTAAATACGTTCTTTCCAAAGGACACCGTAGTGAACGAATATTCATCAGCTGCAATGGGGTAATGACTTGTTGTCAACACTTCATACCTAGAATACCTAATGAATCAAACGTAGCCTAATAAAATTTTGCTTGTAAATAAAATATTATGAGTTTTAAAACTGTAAAAAAGTTCATTTTTTAACACTAGAGTATTTGTTGCCATGGAGAAATTGCATTCTCCATGGCAACTTTACTTCGCTATGATAGGTTAGAACATGAAACATCACCATTTTGCATGAAATTTGGGGTAATTTCCTTGAAGTCTGCTCTGTTGCGGGCTGATGAGAAGAGACCATAAAGGGATCATTGGAGTCACTCGTGAGTACCCCTGTGAAACACAAATTTCACTCCAAGCCCTTTCAGACTGGAGTGGGATTGTGCATATGAAGGGCACGAGACCGCGAGTGTGTGTCCTGGGATATGTACTTAAGCTCTGAATTATAGAAGTCACTGCCTGGTCACAAAACCCCCTCCAAAGTTCCGGATATTATAGGAGGCACCTCGTCAGTGTAATTCCTTCCAGAGTAGGATTTACCAAATACTCCCCATCGGAGTGTGAATAAATGTGACCTTCATGTATTCTTAGTTTATGAAAAAGATGACTCTGTGCAATTCTATTTAGAGTATATTAAATTTAGACTTTTTTACAGCCAGATATATTACACAGTCTTATTGCTATTTGATGTTTTATTCAAATGGGGGTATGAATAACTTGGAGGGCACTGTATAGAGTTAGCTCACTACCACTCTGAATTGTGTGTTTCAGTAACCAAAACTATGGACTTTTTTTTATTTATTTATAGTTTTCTTGGTCTAACACAATTGCACAATTTACAATTTCTTAGCTAGGCATGATCCAGCCTATAAATCTGTTTGTTTTTTTCCTATTTCATCAAGGGTACGAAAAAATCCAGAGGGTACTATATGTACTCTCCAGAAACTGATCACATTTCTTCCCAAAGGTTCCCCTTTCGGATGATGCAGCTAGTGAATAATGTACAGGCCATTGTACATAACATGGAAAACATACTGTTCCATCTCTTTTATTGGGTTTTTGGCCTATGATATACAGTATCACTTTGCTTAAGAGGCGCTGGCAAACCTATAAAGCTGTCCGTACAGGCAGTTTTGACTGACGCGCTGCAATGCCTTCACACAGGACCAGCCAATATCTTCACTTCTGAAGCAGAGGTCGAGATTTTGTATCCCAACATCCATGGATGCAAGCTGCTATATCTGCTGGGCAAGTATGTGGAACCATAAATTGTGATGACACTTAGATTTGGTCAGTGTTCAGCGACTTCTGCCAAGAGCTGCAGATTTGGTTTGGTCCTACTCTTTGCAGGTGTTTTCCTATAACCTTTTGGTTTGAAAGGGTTATCCGCTGTAGTTTGTTTTTAAAAAGGGACTGCTTTTTAAATTGTGCAAAGAAGTGTTAGTGATTTCCCAATCAAATGTGCTAGTCATTAGTTAAATAATAATCAAATAAGTTAAAATAGCTTCTCAGCATATGAGGAAGGGCACAGAGTACTGTGTTCCAAAGTGATCCTTGATAAGCTGATTGATGAAAAAGACTGGTTTTCTTATTATGTACATGGCACTGACTAAACATTTTTGGAAACTTGAAACCAAAAAAACGAAAGAAAAAAAAGAATTTTTCAAAAATCCTTCAATTTTTAAAAATTAAGGTTTTTTTTCCCTTGATCTATTGTATCTCATTTTAGTCTGGTGTTTTTGTGCTCATTTATTGGAGGAGAGAATAGAATGTTTAACATTTGCAATTTCAGTTCCACTAGCCCTATTTTTCCCCACAAATTCACCTGCCGTCAGGGGCTTTTAGGAATGTAACCCTCGCAGCTGACAAGGGATTGTATGCAAAAACAATCAGCTAATTTAAAAAAATATTAAGTGAATTGGCGATTTGAAATGGAAACTCTTACTGAGGTATCTTCGAACTTTAATGGTTTTAAAAGTCAGATACTTAGCCCACACACCATTCTCTTACTAAGAGTCTTATTTGACTGCTTGTTTTGATTTATACAGTATACGAAAAAACAGAATCATTTTGGATGCAGAAGTCATGGAATGTTAATGTAATTTAGATGTACATTTCTGCTTATTTCTAAGATTTTCATTTGTGATCGGGTTATGCATAAGAGGTACATAAACAGTAATTTGCCTCAACTTTGGCTTCATTGAGATTTCTGTTGTTTTTGTGTGTGTCTAATTAAGAGAGAGCAGAGCAGAGATGTTGAAGTATAAACATGAGGTGAATGCTTGCTTAGTTATAGTATGATTATGACAGTCTTTCTGGTGCATTGCAGGAAGTAATATGACTCTTTTACAGCCCTACCTGGTGCTTTGCCAGACATGAAAAATCTGAAGAGTCACACTTGAAATCAACATAATCTCTCCAGCTCAGAAACTGAGATGATAACCCTGGCACAAAATGGAAGTTGAATAGGAATTCATGACAATAGAGATCAGTTAGAAATTTGAAACCTCCTCGTGTTCTTTAAAATTGCATGTGCTCCTGGGTGGCTTTATTTTTAAAAGGCATGATTTTTTCACTAAAAGAATCTTGTGATAAAGGCACTTATTATGCCTAACACAGTGATAATTCATCCCCTTTCCCCACTTAAAAACAGGTTTTTCCATTGAAATTTCCCTTCATGAATTTTAAAACAATTTCTGTATCTCAAACAACTGCAATCTGTCACTACATTTGTAGCTTCAGCCTTTTTACCAGTCACGTTCTTCAGCAATGCAATTGTGAAATCTGCCTGTTTTCGTATGAAGTGGGGCTTAACTGTTTCCATATGGCTGCTCTTCAGGCAAGGTAGTTTCTGAAAGTGCCATTTCACTTACAATTACTGGCACTCAGCTCTAACATTTGTAGCAACAAAACTCACTGAAAATAGAACTTCTTTGATTTAATTTGAATAGAATTAAGCCCTTCTTTACCTGTTGAGTGTTGAACGAGCTGAACAGCCATGTTGAAACCAATAACATGGCTTCTTTCAGGAAACAGCCGGATGAGATCCATGAATCAATTTCTATTTTCTATTTTTTTAAAAAAACTGATTATTCTAATTGATTTGATGGGATGAATGGTCCCTCATTCATAAATGCTCTAATTTACAAAAAGGGGAATCTCATAGTTCTTGGTGTTTTAAACAATCTATTAGAAAAAGATGCATTAGGTTGTTGGAAACCTGCCTAAAAAAATATATTATATTTTCAGGCTTGAATATGTTTTTCTAAAGACGAGCACAGCAAAGCAAAAGAAAAAAAGCTGTCCCAGGAGCAGAGGGTCAGCAATTAAGTTAATTCAGCTTAAATGTTTTATTCAATCATCTATGTGCGCTTATTTTATAAGACATGATGAAAATGCAGAAATGTTTGGGTTTTTTGGGGGCCATGTAGATCCAGATGGGAAGAGTCATTTCTCCTCCCCGAGATCGCTGACGATTTGAAGAAGGTACAGAGCGCGCTGGGCATCGCGGGGCACAAGGGCGTGGATTTTGTCCTCATCCGAGATGACATGGTGGCTCGGGAGGTGAGAGGAATCCGAGGCCTTTTCTCCAGGGAGCTCTGAGCGGCAGTGGAGTATGTTTCTCTTGTGCCACATCCAGAACCGAAACCTCTTTCAAAGAGCAGCAACACGCCTTTCCAGTGCTCCCACAGGGATCTCAGAATCCTGGATAACTGGCAGACTTCATTTCCGGCTCCACAAACCGAACGGAAAATTATTTTCAAGTCTTGGGGAAAGTCCTCAAAAAAAGTCTCGGAGCACATTGAAGTTGGGGGATGATTACAATGGTTTGTGTCTCACAGAAAACTGCTGAAATGGCATGGAAAATTTTCCTTCAGACAAATTCTACAGCTTTTGTGTTATATCCTTTTGATTGTAAAAGGCACAAAGTCCTTTTGTATCCTATCAGGACTGAATGTGAAATTACTCATCCTTATTACCATTTTGTAAGAAATGATGCACTCTCTGGCATTTTTGGTTTTGTTTTAAAGACCAGAAATTCAGTGATGTTACTTGGTGTCTAATTTTGAAAGAGACAAGTAAATTTGGTTAAAGAACTTGCAAATAGTTTGTTAATTCTCTAACAGCCATAGTTTTCTTTTCTCTGAATTCAAGGAATTCCTTACCTAAGGAAGGTAAAATATCAGTACTGTTGATATGTTTTTCATGACTGACGACCTTCAGAAATAAAAAGCCTTATTAAAGGAAAAGCATGTTAAACATTATGTCTTCATATTATTATAAAGAAAACATGACAGACTTCACACACAAGATATTACAAGATCTTCAAAGCTGAACGTTTCACAAAGGTTCCTTCTTTAGTTTTCTCTCTCTCCTACATTAGACATCCTGGAGCCTCTAGATGGCAATTGCATTGCTGAGACAGGACTGTACAGCCTGAGGTCACAGTGGCATGTGTGTTGCTTACAGACCCACGGTTTACCTGGTCCCGCAGAGCTGCAGAGCTGGAAGGACACTGTTGAACAGCGAGCTGTGGAAATGATTAATTTCGCTTACCAAGGAAGTGGAAGGTATGAAGGGCGGAAGGGAGTGTGTCAGGGGGCAATGGGACCGACATGGAGAAAGACTGGAAATACAAACTGAAGGAACATTGTACATTTTTTGTTGATCAACTGCTACAGTATAAGCAATCACGAACCTCACACTGATAAAGTTGATCATTTTTTCTTTGTGTGTGCGTGTGGGGGGGGTGCTGACCAGGAAATGCTAGTTGACTAGTCTTAGTCAAGCCAGAAATTAAGAATATGTTTGACACAGGAAATCCCAGTTCTGATGTTGGGGTCCATCACCTTTTACTGGTTGCCTTAATTATCATGTCCTGCTAAAACACAACTACAGGCAGCAAAAACATAAACTAATAACACAAAATGGTAAACACTGAGCTAGAAGAGGTTACTTATAGAAAAGGTTTAGGTGTTTATGGTGACAAATTTTTACACCTTCCAGACAATGTGAGGAAGCAATTTAGAAGACCAGCACAATGTTAGGATCCTGTACTTGAGTGAAGGGAGTGTAGCTACGTGAGCAGAACACTAGAGGGCAGCGTAGGGACAAATCAGTGACACAGGGAAAGAGGGCTCATCTTCAACTGTCAATAAGATGATTTTGCACTTTAAGAGATGAGCAGATACGATAAATGAACTGCTAACTACCAAGTAATCCAGATGGGCTGAATGGCCTAATCTCACTTGTAACCTTTTTCTTATGGTCTTTTGTCCTTATGTCCTCTTGATATTTGTGTGGGCATTTACAATTGTTTCGGCTATTCTAAACAGCTGTGTTTGAAAATTGCACTGTGGTGGTATGTGTTTGATTTTTGTCTGGTACTGTCATTCTGTCTTGAAGTGCATTGCTTCATAGTGCACACAGTTTAAAATAAAAAGATTTGAAAAGGCTTTATGATTATCCTGTACTTTCAGTACACTTTCAAACTTTTTTTTCTGAAAAGTATGGTCATTGTTAATTTTCATTTGTATAGCAGACACCCTTATGCAGGATGACTTACAAAATAAGCAATAATACGTAAATGTGAGAAAAAATGATCCAGTGGAAAAAAGATAATTTCATTACTCCGCTGCAAGAGAATGGAAAATTTATCTCTGGTGCTTTGGCTGAATTATTTTTATTGTCTTATTAGGGAAGTCCTTCAGGTGAGTGTTGGACCACTGCTTCACACTTTGGTGAATAATATCGAGGAAAAGCTTCAAGGAGAAGCGTCTTCAGGAGAATCCAGGTGGGTCTTCTTGCTGCTGAAATGTAGAGGGAGGCCTGTCTGCCAGCCTTGATGCGATCTTTGTCGTGTTTTGAGAATAAAATGATGCGGGGATGGCAGAGACGTGTGTAACACACTCCCATCTTATGACTGTGTGCTGCTCCAGAAGAGACCCTGGTCCTGGAGAGCCCCAGTCCAGCAGGTTCTGTGAGCAGCCTTCAAATCCTCATTATCTAAAGATTTAAACTATGATTAGATAGGCAGGCAATGTTTTCAATTAGGTAATTTAGAGATATCATATAGAGCGAAAATCGAACCATGCCTCAGCCCTTGCCTTAACTGAAACACTACTTGTCTAAACTAATTTAAATACCAGGTGATTTAGGGAGATCTGTAATGATCACTGGATTGAGACTCCCCAGGACCAGGGTTGATCCAGAGTGCACCAGAGCATTCAATCTGAACATCTCCAGTGGTACTGCTTCATTAGTTGCTTTGTTTTTGTGTTCGCATTTAAAATAGTATGTGAAAAATAATCTCCCAGGCTTCCATTGGAACAAGACTTTGTCGTTTCTTAAATTACGGTGGTCCGGTACTTTCAAAAGCAGCTTCATGAATTCACTTGAAACCTCTACGGCAGTTTGGGTCACACTGCACTCGGCAAATATTTGTAATTAATGAACCACTGGGACTGAAATTATTTAATGAATAACGTTGTTTCAAATCACAGGTACTGACTATTTGGAGTGTGACTGGATTGCCTGTAGTGTAGTGTAGACAATCACAATGGTTTGGCTGAGTTGAGAAGCTCCATAATCCGTGTATCAGTCAGTTGTTCCGCATGGTATTTCTTTGTACTTTGGTTAAGAGAGTTGGGATGAGTCGTTATGGGATTGGCACGCTCATGATGTACAAAGGTCAGTGTCCAGTTCTCTGAGTGTGGCTTTTGATGTATATCTACTGTAAAAGGCTTTGTATCTTGAAGGGCACCAATTTTCTTTATTTCAGTACCAAATGATTGATCGTTTTAAATTAATTTCAAAGAATATCTAAGAAAACTGCAAGATGGGCATATCCATTGCAAATTTAAACTTGCAGGACTCATTTGTATTTTATCAGGAGGTAAAGAGTCCTTCTGAAATACCTAAAGTCAGCATTACTTTCAGTAAAAGGTCTTGCATTGTACAGAAAAATGTCTCCAAAAGTCAGGCATTAATGACACCTTTAAACTTTTCATGAAAGGTGTCATAACATACTATTTGAAATGAAACCTTTGGACTGCGTGACCTCTGTGTGTGTCTGCACAGCCAGCACGCCTCAGGAGGGGCGTCTGTACAGTAGGGTGTTGCTCATGGACGTGTCGCATAATGTTTTGAAAAAGTATCAGAAAGTAAAGGAGCCAGATTTAAACTGGAGGTATCAATCTGTCCTTTTTTAAGTTGTTTTTCATGACCTATAGCACTTTTCTATTTCTATTTTGTGTGTGTGTGTGTGTCAGGAAGATGTATCTGTATTCTGTCCATGACACAACTTTGATGCCTTGTCTGATCGCGTTGGGGATCTTCGACTGGAAGTGGCCACCTTACGGGGCGGATATTACTGTGGAGCTGTACGAACACCGGACCACAAAGGAGGACTTTGTCAAAGTGTCTTATATTGGCCAGGTAAGCAGGACCTTCAGATGGGTTGTTTTTCCCCCACCAACCCTTGGCCTCTGCCTTCTCCCACAGTCACAGGACTGACCTCGGCAGACAACACATATTGCAAAACCAACACAGAGGTAGAGTGATGTAAGGCTGTAAGTCAGCAGATTAGGTGGAAAAGCTAGAAACTGATTCACCATTTGAATTTAGTTAGTTTGTGAAAACCCAGTGTAGAATTCACCCAGGGCATCTGGGTTTCTGACACTATTTTTCCAAAACAGTGCTCTCTAATGGATCTCTAATGATCACGTGGCCAGGACCTCATTTTAATGTCAATTGAGTTTTGAAGGATACGTTTCGTTTTTACCCAGTTATAGTATTCAAATAATAAAGGCCTTTTACTTAATTCTAATTGGGTTTACAAAATGTTTCTACATGTTGGTAATCATTAGGTTTTAAACAGGATCCATTTTTTATCCATTATACTATTAAGGCTAAGTAATGTGTTTTTTTCTAAAAAATGCTAAATAAGCGCTTCTATATGTGAAAGTGTTCAGTACCACCAGGTAACTTCATGCTAGTAGAGGACTTAAAATATTACAATTTTCTTTCCTTAGCATGTGTTGTGTATTTAACCTTTGATTTTCATCTTTTTGTGTTAGGCACAGCTAATACGAGGCTGCAGTGACATCTATTGTCCATTGAAGGAGTTTAAGAAAGCACTTTCGTCCTACACCCTTGAACTTGTGGGCTACAGAGCACTCTGCAATAAGACTGAAAATGT